AGCTCCAGTCCCAAGGCCGTGCTCCTGGATCCTATGGATGGTTGCAGTGTCAGAGCAATGCCCTCTAGCTGACCCGAAAACCTGCTGGGGCAGGAGGAGGGAGAAGAGCGATGCTGAGCCTGTCCCCCCAAACCCAGACCCCCTGACAGCGAGCTGGCCGGCACAGAAAGCCCCCGTGGCTGTGCCAGCCCCCAGCAGCTTTAAGGCTGGGAGCAGCCGCCGCTGCCCCCAGCAGCTTTAAGGCTGGCACCAGCCGCTGCTGGGGAGGGCTGGGGGCCGCGGCAGGGCTGGGGTAAGGGGTCCACACTGCCTTTTGAAGCAGAGACAAAGCCCGTCTTGATATTTATGGCACGTGCAGCAGGAGCGCGGGGCGTGCGGGGCTGTGGGACAGATGGCGAGTGAAACAAAAGGGAAGGCAAGAATGGGAGCTGCACAGATTGGGAATTTCCTGCCCGTCCCTCTCCCCCATGGTCAAACACTGCTGGGGGCATGCAGGGAGCGGGACCGCCTTTCCCCGATGGTCCCCCCAAAGTGTTTGGTCCCTTGAGGGGGGCTGACCCCCACATGCTGCTCTAGCTCCCAAGGCTATGCATCCTCCCAGAGCCTGGTGGAAAGACCCAAAATCCTGAGACCCAAAATCCCAAGCACCGAAATCCCATCTCCGTTTTACTCCTGATGTGGAGCTGCGAGAGCAGGACCCCCCTGTTCCTCCAAGCCTCAGTCTGCTCCTCTGTGAAATGGGACCCCAGCTCATCCCTGAATGATGCCGGCAAGGCGAGGGGTCCTGGCAATCTGCCGGCGATGTGCCGGGCCCCTCCCCAGCGTCTTTTCCCGCTGCCTCTGCAGTTTTCTTATCTCTTCCCAGCAATGTCGCAGCTGCCGCGGGCCGGATCTAAGCAGCTTATTAATAATCAACTTTTATTGCTTGTCACATCACAAGCACGTCTGCAGATGGCCAGGCGCGGTGGTGGCAGTCGTGACCTGGCCACCGATCCTTTTGTCCTCACAACTCCTCCACTTAATAAAGGTTTTAGGTTAAGTCCGAGAAGAATTGAGCAAAGGGAAGCGCCGAAGGACGTGACGCTGGGTTACCCTTCCCTGGACCGTGACTCACGCCAGCTCTGCAAACACTCACGTGCCGAATTTAAAGTACAGGGACGGTGCCGTGCCCAGAGCTCACGTCCCTTGGCTGGGGGGTGGCTCTGCCCAGCCCAGACGCCTCCAACCATGTTAGGGTCAAACCCATTGCCCATTGCCGCGCTGCTTTCTTGTGTACTTCTCCAAAGGAAAATATTTTGAGGAATTGTTTTTAAACACAAATCCTGCACTTCCTGGGGAAACATCGCCCTAAAGGGGTGTTTGCAAACGGCCTGGGAAGCGTTTGAGCTGAGGGATGCTGCAAAGGGGAAAAAATAAGTGAGCAGGGGAAGAAAATCTGGGGGAAGAGACTGGAAAGAAGTGGAGATGAATTTTGGGGGGGGTTTAGGGGAGCTCTGGAGAAATCCTGCCTATCCCCATGGGGAACCCTGTGGGAGCTGCTGGTTTTTAGGGTCTCGTGCAGGGACAGCCCCAAAGTGGGTGCCCAGGTCCAACGACAGTGGCCTGAGCCCCTCTGTGGACATGGGGTGATGGTGGGGGGCAGCAGCTCTGGCGGGAGCAGCAGGGTGGCTTTGACATCCCACCCAAGGAGAGTCCTTGGAAGGAACCCACAGTCCAAATGTGACTTTGGGGGGGCTGCAGCTGCTGGTACCTCCCGTGCTCGGGGCACCACCTGCAGCAGCCCCACAAAGCCTCTGTGCTCGGGGCACACCCCCGAGGGGGCTGGGGAGCTATTTTTTTGATTGGTTTGGGGTTTCCCCCTTCTTTATGCTTCTCTGTGGATCTGGACAAAGCCCTGTACTCCTCCCTCCTCCTTCCCGGTGGGATACAGGCTGCTGGGGCCCCCCAGACCCCGCACCTCCTCCCAGCAACAGGAGGAGGAGGAGGAAGGGGATGAGGAGGGGGGCCAAGCCCCCATCCCTGCTCTCCCCACCACAACAACAGGGCAATGATTGAGCGCCCGTGGGCTGACCCAGGACCAATGGGGTCTCCCCCTTTTTTTTGGGGAGGAGGGGGAGCAGCAGGACAGTGGGTTGCACTGACCCTCTGCCCCCCTCACCTCTACCCTTGTGGGATGCAAAGCCAGTGCCCCAGCTGGTGTAAATCAGCAATCCCAATCGCCCTGTGTGGATAAAGCAGCTGCTGGAAGCAGCACCGGGTGGCTGCTTTTCCTTGGGTTTGCTCC